AGAGAGAGAGAGAGAGAGAGAGAGAGAGAGAGAGAGAGAGAGAGAGATTACTACTATCATCTTACCAAAGTTATTCGGCGAGGAACCTTTTCTAGAAAGCTTCCTATTGCCTACAGAAGCAAAGAAACAAAGAAAGTATCAAACATGACAATAAAACTATAGCTGTGTCAGATCAGATACAAACCCAATAGCTGCGTGTGCTCAATATGCTACATCTAGCTTTAACCTTGGGTACATTTTTGGTGGGTTAACACATTGTATAAACCCAGGCCATTTGGTTTATTTACAGTTTAATGCATTGCGCAAACCAGTAAAACGGATTAATTTTCTAACCAGGTTAAGTGCACTGTATAAATTCAGGCAAATGTAAGAGTAGAAGCAAATGGGAGAGAAAAGAGGGAGGGATATTCAAGTAGGAGTGTGTGTGGTTATGTCTTTATCCAGAAGGTCTCCTCCATCTCAGAACTAAGGATGATAGAAATTACCATCCAACACATCTAGAAGGTACCAGATTGAGATGGCAGATGCAAAGGAAGGCAAATGAGAAGTGTTCTCCTTTGCTCCTTCCCGTGTCTACCATATATATGAGAATGCTTTCCAATCCATGTCTTGTGTTTTTTGGCACATGTCTGTAAAGCAGAGATGCCTATCTGGAGAATCCAAGCTCCATGTGAATCCCTGAGAGCCAATGTGATGCATTTAGACTAGGAACAAGGAGACCCAGGTTCTAGTCAGCCTCAACCATGGAAGCTCATGAGTTACTTTAGACCAGTCAATCTCTTTCAGTTCAACCTATTTCACAGTTATTCTGGGAGGGGAGACAACTATGCAAGCCACTTTGAGCTCCTCAAAGAAAGCTGGCTATAAATCTAAAGGAGGAGGAGGAGTCCCTCCTCAACCGAAAACCCTGGGTAGGGCTCTCAGAGTCCCTCCAAAGGCCAAGAACAGCTTTTTATTTATAAAAGCTTTGTGAATCAATGCTCAGTGTTCTCAAGTTTAAGTCAATTAAACTCAACAAATTGAAAAATCCCTCTGTGTCATCATGAACTTCCTGGAACATTTATTTTGAGAGACTACACATCCCTCAGATCTAGGCATGGTAGGTCTCTCCCACAGAGACTGAAGGGAGAGTCTCTCCATGAAAGCCTTACCAAGCTCTTGTGATGTTTGTCAGATCCTGTTGGCTAGAGAAGAGAGAAATAATGCAGATGAAGTTGACAAGTGGCTAAGAAGAAGGGCACAGATACACATGAGACTTTTCTGGAAGGGCTAGGTGGGTGGGTGAATCTCGGTCTCAGATGCTACTGTCTATTTCCCCTCTTTTATACATTTCCTAGGTTCTAGGTTTACACTCAATCTCTCCAAAATCCATCCTTCCATCCATTTATTTTAAAAAGTACATTTCTCACACTCCTGTCTTGTGACTCCAAGTGACTTACAAAATCTAAAATTCAGTAAGAAAAACCAGCACCATCCATCCATCCATCCATCCATCCATCCATCCATCCATCCATCCATTGTCTGCCTTTGGTTGTAGAAAAATTGACAGCTTCTTATCTGCTGTGTCACCATGCTTCATTGGGCTTTTTACAGGAGGAAGACCAATAGGAGGAAGGCAGAAATACTCCAAAAGTCAGTCCTACAAGATTCCTACCAAAGTTTGTCGGCGGGATTTTTTTGCAGATTCATTTGCCTGCAAGGTAGGAAGACAGAGAACACAAGATGTCAGGACATAATATAAAGTACATCATCATTACCCCTTTGAGTTCTCATGGTCTCTATATACTGTTTGGTGAACAAGACCAGGCGAGACCTTATGCTCTCAGAGTTATGTGCAGTCCCCCATCTCCTTTTACAACCCACAAAAGCTCCCTTTGACCACAATCAGCGACACTCCTTCCCACCATTCTGAACCAGAAAATACAGCATCTGTAATGCAAGTCCTGTAAGATGTTCAATATAGTTTAAAAAAGAGAAAAAATAGATTCTCCTCCCCCCTGCAAAAAACAGAAGTGCTTTATTCCTTTGAATTATTTCCCCACCCATTGTGGCCCCTGCCACCGACATCCAGTAGAAGCCAAAATGTTATCCTGTGTCTCTGATGTGATGATACATGTGATATCATTTGTCCCCCAGGAGATACCCATGGCCCTCCTTCTCCTAAAAAAGTAAGGTGTAGCCCCCAGTCACCAAAAGGACATTTAACACTGCTTTAGGAACTAAACATGAAGATAGATTCATGATAGAGCTCTTGCCACCAGCCCATGGACTATCTGCCTGGTACATAATTCACTTGTGCCAATGTGAATTCAACTCAGGGCATTCCAGCCACTCTTCTACTTACTATAACCACAGACTGCCGTCGGGCTCTCATAGCTGCTGATTTCACCACTCCCTTTTGGTACTCCTTGTCAAGCATGTGTGACTGCCCAAGGAAGAGAGCCAAGAAAAGAAAGGTGAGCAAGGAATCCAGGATAGTATAGTTAATATGCATGCATGAAAAGTATAGCTGCATTTTTTATTCTCAAGCCACAATGGTCATGTTCACACAACATATTAAACCAAGTACGTTATAAACCTAGTGCCTGCATTAGCACAGCATTAAAGCTGGTTAGCATTAACTAGGGGGTGGGGTGGGGCCCTGGTATGTCATTTGAATTTCTGGTTTCAGTTTCCAAGCCCATTCAGTTAATTAGTGGTTCAACACATGTGCAAATCTAGAAGATGAGTTAATTCAATAACTAGTTTTAGTGTAATGTGTAAGCTCAAAGTATCAGTTGTTGAATAATGTTTCTTGACTGGCTAAATGGATAAATTACTTGCTCCCAACACAGTCATTTAAGACACAGTGATGAAACTATACCTTCTCCAGGTTCATCAACATAGATAGAACATCACCAGTCTTTGTATGAATGTTATCGGCAAACATAGTTTCTGAAATGTTGGCCCCACGGATGCTTCGTAGAACAATCTCTTGCTCCTGCTCTACGTTGAATTTGAGGGACCTCACTTCCTGGACTATTCTGTGGAGACCAAAGCCCAGAATAAAATAAACCTGGAGATGATTTCTGTGAATCACATTCCTCACCACCAGGTAACCTGTAACCCTGGGCAGTGTTTTGACATTTTAAAATACACTTGCATGTCTGGAGTAGACAATCTTGTCCCTCTCCTCTGACTCATTCCCCAGGATCATCTATTTAACAAAAAGGCATCTCTCAGTTACTACCCCACTACTAGGAGCAGATCTCATGTCAGCTGGAATCAACACTGGGGCATGCCCTTCTTATAACTTGAAAGTGTCTACAAAAGAGATAGAACTTGATGTATAGAAATTAATCTTATCAGCACAACTACTAACTCAGTTAACTGGAGTTCATGGCAAAAAGAACAGAGCAAGCTTTCTCTCCAGATACAGTACCTTTCCTATATTGTACACCTAGGGAGCTGGCCGTGGTCCTGTTCTCCTTTGAGCAAGCTTGCATTCTTGTTGAACTTTCCCAAGACCCCTCTCCCTCCACCCTCCATGGTTTCCCGCTAGATCAGAGAGGATTCATTCAGTCATTCATTCTATATTCTTCCTCTCTATTTGTTCCGAGCATTCAAGGCAGCTAAAATTCAAAATTAAGGATTAAAACCAGTGTTACATCTAGAACAATTAAAGATAGGTTATCATCCTACATTTATTTTTATGCTATTCCTTCCTTTCTTGTACTGGGCAGAGGGGAAGCTCCTGAAGGGTTGCCTTTATGATTTTGCCCCACTCTGAGAAGTTACTTCCTCATCCTCTTCCTATAGGTAGCTTCCTTCACTGAGTTTAGGTGGCTAGCTTCCTTCTCATAAACCAAGCTTTTCAAGGAGCTTGATCGCTGCCTTTCACTTGTCCTTGCTCTCCAGCTTCTTCCTACTTCCCCCACTGTCCATTTTAGTATCATTACCAATTTGTGTCAGAACCGGTGGTCCCCATTATTCATAGAAGTTCCATTCCTTTCAAACAACCACAGATAATAAGACCTTGAAAAAACATATTTCATGCATGTGCAAAAGCCATTCATCATTTGTATTTAAAAAAAAAACCACTCTGAAAGTCATCCTTCTATTAGAACCACACACAGAGATACATAAAATTCTTTGCTGTGGATAGTAAGGTCTGGTCTGTATTTATCAACTGTGGGTATGCAAAATTACAGATAACAATGGATAATATAGGTCACCTGTACTACTATTAGCCAGGAACTAATGGCAAGAAGGAAATAAAGACATAGGGATTTCTAGAATGAGCAGGATGCTTCAGTGTTTCCAATGGTCCCAGTGCAATCATGACATGATCACAGCCTTTACTTTCCTGGTGGAATCCAGGGTGTTTTTGTCCTTTACCATCCCATCAGAAAAGGCCTGGGGGGGAGAGGCTAAATATATTAATCTACATGTGTGTGTGTACCCACTTGTAACCTCCAACACAGCACTCCATACCCAATTTGACCACTGGGGCCAAAACAGTCTTTAGCCCTTCTCCAAAGGTTCCTTAGAGGTTAGTTGCTGTTAAAGCTGGCTCAAAAGCTGAAGCTAATGCAAAATGTAATGGCTAGGCTGTTGAAGGGGAAATGCATTGTGAATGCATCACACTTCTTTTGAAGATGTTGCCAAACTACTATTGAGCCAAATTTAAGAGAGCTATGTTGACATATCAAACCCTACACATTTTGGATATTGATTCCTGATGAATTGTCTTCTCTTCTAGATAACAGCCTGGTCATTAAGATCCATGGGAGGTGTTCTCTTGATGAAGCCATATTTGCCAAGTATTAGCCAACTCAAAAGGTGAATCTTTGATAGAAGTGCCCCAATCTTGGCATTCTCTCTTTCTTCAGTTAGAACTGTTGCCAGCCCTTGTAAGTTGTATGTGCCAGCTTAAAACTTATTTGTTCATTCAGGCTTTTAACTAAGTCAATGCTACAGTAGTCTGTAGTTCTTAGTATCCTGGTCTGGAATATGTGATCTTTATAGATTTCAAACTGAGAGCCAGTTCAGTGTAGTGGTTAAGCCATCAGGCTAGGAGCCAGGAGACTGTGAGTTCTAGTCCCGCCTGAAGCACAAAGCCAGAGTCTCTCTCTCTTAGCCCTAGGAAGAAGAAGGCCAGGGCAAAACACTTCTGAAATCTACCCAAGAAAACTGCAGGGACTAATGCAGGAAGTCACCAGGAGTCAAAAACTAACTTGAAAGCACAAAAGAGAAACAAAATACATATCCCCCTTTGGGGAGGAAGGGAGGGAGGGAGGGAATTTAAATAGGCAGAGAAGAAAGGTAAGGCGTCAAGTGCAGTTATAGATCTGGAAGTTATTGTTATTACTGTTATTTTTTTTTTCAGTTCATACCCCAGCTTCCTGCCCAGGGTATTTAAGATGGCTCATGGTAAAAATGTTAAATCAAATAAAACCTAGTTGGGTTCATACATCTACCAAACCCCAGGCGGTGGTTAACCAAATATAATTACTGGGTATACAGATCATGTTATGTCCAGTTCCACATACAACTCAATGTAGTAATCAAGTTGGGGTCTGATTAAGCTATCGGCAACTGTTGCTAGCTGCAATTAGAATAGCTTCCATTCTTAGGTGAAAAAAGCAGACAAATGGTAGGACTTACTGCTCCAGTTCATCCCGGATCTCCTGATATCCCTTTAAGTTCTCGTGGACTGCTTCTAGGACAAGGCAGAGATCTTCACAAGTACTCTCATTCAGATTGGCCAGATTGCCAAAGCTGAGCAACTCCTGATGATGGACCATAGGTGTTCCCTGCATAACTTCTTTTATATGCACCGGTTCTGACTGGGACGCAGCGAAGTCGTCATCAGTGCCATCCTGCTCAAAAACCCACATGATTAGGCAGCCCTCTCAACTCACCCCAACACTGTGAAGTAGGGCTGCCCCTTCATTTGGTGAGCTGCTTCTGCGCAGAATGAACTGGATGTGGCAAAATCAGTTACATGACAGGTTGGAAAGCTCCTCCACAGTGTAACCTCCAGCCTATCTCCCTCTTCTAGCCTATTTACCAAACCTGACAGCCAATGGGAAAAAAGAGCATTTTGAAAATATTAAAATATAAGTCCACCCCTGCTTCTTGGTTTGCATGAATGCTATTGCCTGGGAGTTATTTACATGATAGGTCAAAGTATATATGTCACATATTAGGCAATTTGGTTATTTCATTCATGCATTTTCTGGGTTTGTGCTTGGGTACACGCACTAATCATACCCATAAAAACCTATAATTAAGATTAAAACTAGCCAAGCTTAGTATCAGCCTTCAGCTGGTAGGCAGGGCTAGAATCACTTCGGCCAGCTCATAAGAAATCAAAGGACTTGCGTCCAGTAACATTTACCGAAGAAAATTAGGAACCGTGACCAAAAGAACTGCAGCAATTCCTGCAATTCAAGAACTAGCTTGATATATTTGAAATGATGTTCAAGCCCACTTGTGTTTCATTTTTTCCTCACCCTTGACAGACTGCTTGCCAGCTTATTCTGTGTAATCTGGCCTGTTTCTATATGTCCTTGGTTTCTGCAATGTTCAGATCAGCTCTTATTTCATTTCTCACTGATGGTGTGAGAATTGTCAAACTTTGCATGTGATGCCCATTCAACAATTTGTCCCTGGTTTAGTTAAGAGTGTTGTGTGGACACAGCCCCTGAGTAAAAGCTATTAGCCCCCATGGAGAATTGTGGGGAATTTTGGAGGCGGTATGACACGGAAGGACAAATCACTAGTAACTCCAAAACTTGGTTCTCGCTAAATTCTTTTCCACTCCTTGAGTGGTTACTAGGCCAGCATTAAAACCCAGCAGAAGCTCCACTCATAGGAATATTAATAATGCTTCCACATTTTTAAAAAGGGAAGCAGTATACAAATGCTTTAATAAATAAAATTAAATGCAAAGGGAACCATTTTCTCACTTGGGAAAAATATCCCCCCACCTCCAGCTTTGCAAAATTAACCAGTTCTCATTTGTCTCCCATCTGGCTGATCATTTGCCTGATCTGGCCCCTGCATATTCCCATGCTATTTCCAGGGTCTAGAGACTGGGCACACTGCCCTAACTTCAATGCATTTTCTCCCATTCAGCTTCCCCGAATCTTGGCATTAAGAACTCACATCAAATCCAGCATAGCTCGTAGTGGAAAAGAGCTGAGTTTTCAACTGCTTCTTCTCATTATACTCAGTCATAGATTGTTCCAAGTTGGTGGTCACTACAGCCACCAGCAGATTTGCAAAGATGAAGGCTCCAAAGGTGATGAAGATGAAGAAGTAGAGGGCCCCCCCTATCTCCAAGGCCAGGCCTTCATTTCTGTAGGGGAAAGAAGACAAGCAGTCATTAAAGGAATCCTTTGGAACCATCTCAAGGAAGCATAGCTCTGAGTCATGCTTGTTCATCCCCCTGGGGTTCAGGGCCAGCCTTATCCTTATGGACAGGGAGGTGTTCAAGAGACAAGGCAGGATGGGGACAGTAGTTATGGCCACAAAGCCTTTCTGTTCTTCTTTCCATTGGAGAAAAGAGTTGCGTATATCCCATCATTGCATTTGACTCCTCCAAACTAGATATGTTGGCTGTGTTTCCCAACGTTTCTTACATCCAATGTACCTTTTCCCAGAACTGTACTGCGGCTGAAAAAGGTAGCCATGTGATTCAGAAAGATGCTTTAAAGAGTTGCAGACAGAAGCTGCATGAGAATTTACCCCACATACTGTATTAACCTTGGTGAAATGTAATCTTAGGGAATGGGGTGTTAGCCAGCCATGACCATTGAGTCCTTTGGGCAAGTTTACAATTCAAGGGCTACTTGAATCATGCTTCATTTCACTTTCACTTTGTCACTTTATCCTCGTATTCATCTGAAGTGATGACTTCAAGTGATACTTATATTTTATTTGGGCTTTTGACATAAGGTTCCAGTTGGGACCATTTCTCCATCCTGTAGGAGGTTGTCTGAGTGGGTGTGTGTAATTATAGAGCCATGATCTTGTCCTTTTTTGAGTTCAGTTATGAACTTTTGGTTTAAAGGGCTCTCAAAATTCCAAATGTGCCACCAGCCCAAGGTATCTCAAGGTACAATGGAAATGTTATCCAATTGTCAGTATTCAAGTGAGGCTGAACAGCTTCTGCACGTGTACCCATGGGTACAGAGAGAGCAGTCCCAAATGCCTTTCATCAGTCCTGTCCATGATATCAATTTCATTTTTAATTAAATGTCCTAAGTTAAGATGGTGGTGGAAGGAGACAGCAAGAATGAATGAGTGTGTGAAAGGTGGTGGTGATGGTGATGGTGATGGTGATGGTGATGATGATGATTGCAGCTAAATATAGAAAAAAATTACTCACTCAAAGTCATTATAAATATTAATCCACCCATCCTGGGTGACACAGATGAAAAGAGAATACAGAGCCGTTCCCAGATTCCCAAAATGCTTTGGGACGAGGCTTCCAAAGAGAGTCACTCCAAACACAGAGAAGACCTGCAAAAACACACAGCAGGGATGGTGCAAAAATACCAGTTCTCTGGGAGACAGCTTCTCCCTTGAATTTGAAAAGGACAAGTGAAAGAAAGAAAGAAAGAAAGAAAGAAAGAAAGAAAGAAAGAAAGAAAGAAAGAAAGAAAGAAAGAAAGAAAGAAAGAAAGAGAAAATATAAGAAATGGCCATATAGTTCCTCAGACTATTTTTCACACTTGCAGGATCACCTGCTCCAGAGGGACACAGCTCTTGTTTCTGCTAAGGACTTTCTGCCCTTAATAATTATAAATC